CCAATTAGAAACTGAATTCGACACGAATAAAGGAGGAGAAACTTCATAGAATTTTAACTGATATTTTGATCTGTTCTGATTTGATTAATTGCGTTTTTGTTTAGATACATCCAATGTTCGAAAACGCGGATGTGGTGACCGCTTTCTCGCCGGAAAACCGCTCAGCGGACCGGAGCCGCCGCGACTTCACCCTATTCGGTCAAAAACTCGGAATACACGAAAAATTGTTTTTTTGTTCGTTATATGATCAAGTGTTATATAATAGATCTACAATATCGAAAAAATGAGAGATAATAATGGTGTATCAATGGAAAAAAAATCAAAAAAATCTGTTTATTTGGGTTTCAGAAATCGAAATCAAGAGGAAGAAACGAAAATGACTAAAATACCCTTTATTAATGTTTAAAAGGGAAAAACAACATTATAGCAATACTTCTGTTCGAACAGGTCCCCTCTAAGGTCTTTAAACGCACTAAACCACTGCACCATAGAATGCTGGGAAATGGTGTTTCAGAGAGTTAAAGGTACATCCACAAGTCTTGGTTTTCCTACTTTCTCGCAGTTTGAGTGTCTTAACGGGTTTCAAATGTTTGGTTTCCTCTCGCCATTTATAGTTCAGGTAAAGGTTTAAATTCAAAACACGTTCATGATCTTTACTCGTTTACACATCTTAATCCCTCTCTACAGGCCACTGAAGCTCTTGACCCAAACCGCCGGAACCACAAGAACTAAGCATCATATGAGTCAGACGGTCACTTCATATCATCAAACCCTTGAGTGAGTTTATCCAAAGGAAAAAATTTCGAAGTAGATTTGATGTAAAAGCTCAAGAGCAACAAGGCGACCAGCTCCGAGACAGCGGCAATGACTCTTTTAGATATAGATAGAACGAAGATACGTTTCTAATTTTTGGGAGGCATTTATTCAGAATCTTTTGTTCTCTTCCATTTTTAGTGAGCCATAAAAACCTAACCTTAGTAGTTTTAGAAGTGTACTAGGGGGAAAAAGTTCGATTCTTTTGCTAATGCGATCTCATAATAATAATACAAAAAAGTTCTACTTTAAATTCAATGAAAAATCTTAAACGAAAAGGGATAGTAACAAAGCTTTAACCGTAGAGAATTTGATATCATATATTCACAGAATCTTGAAAAATCTTAAAGGAAAAAGAGCGAGTAACAAAGCTTTAACCGTAGATATCATATTTATATTCATAGAATCTTGAAAAGTCTTAGAAGAAAGCTTGAGAACTGATCTTACCACGTATGAATTATTTGTTGAAGAGTCTCCAGAGACCTGAGCTTCTTCAATGTCTCTCTGCCAAAACCCATTCAGAAGAACAAATTCTC